AAAAAAAAAAAAAAAAAAAACCTTTGAAAAGGCCTAACAGACTCCTATCGCAAAGTCTGCATCTAGGGGACAGGTAATGAGAATCGGGAGAATTATCAACTTAGGGACATAAGCTTATTTCAACATGAGATACTCAGGGCTAGCAAACAAAAAAATGCATGGAATTACACGTAGTCAGGAGAATTGACTTTTAGATCATGGGAGTAAAAGAGTTATTAGTTATTTAACTTTAATCAAAGAAGTATGTATAAATGGCCACTCTTACTGTCCCAGTCCCACTCCCGATACTCCTAGCCGCTTTATGTTATGGAAACCGTGATCTAATGGGCCACTAGGCTCTCATGAAGACGTATCCTACCCACTACACCTCCCCCGTCCCCCAGTTGTCTTGCCAAATATTACACCACAAGTCAGTGAGACCCTGAAAAATACTCAATCTACAAGGAAACCTCTTTAACAAAAAGTTGTTTACATAATGGCCTTAAATTAATTTATCAAAATACAATTATAACTATTAATTTACAAAAAAATCAAAACAACAGGGTAGTTACATAAGTGAGAATCACTGCCTCATATTGAACAATCTACGAACGAATAAGCATGTTCTGTTAATATAAGAGCTGTTTCTGCTGTATGTCTAAGGTTTACTACAAAATTGATAGATTCATATATAACGTCTATACTGAGTCAGTTAACAGCTGACGGTGACTACAAGTAAAAACACATCGTCCCTATTCAAGGAGTTTTAGTTGTAACAAGAAGGGTTTTTGTTTTTTTCTCCTCGAACTCGTTACCACTGACTGCGAAGTTCTCTGAAAAAAAATTGTACAAATATATTTTCTCGTGCTACATTTTTTTTTTTTTTCAGGTATCGTTTCGACTACATGTATGGAATCGAGAGGCATTTACACTTTTCATTACTTCCTCTATCGAGTTATAAACAGTTTAAAGTTTTATGGCGGAACTGTTAAAAAATGCTGCCATGTGTTTCCTTAAAAAAACATGTCTTAGTTCAAAGTTGTCGGTAGAATATACAACGGCAAGGCTGGTAGCAGCCCAAACCTTGCGGCTGTACGATAAAGCCTTGTGATTGTTGTTTTCTTGTACACCTGCCTATACGAAATCCCTTGACTAGTATAAAGGAGGACCAGAAAGGGCAAATTTGTCATAATTCTTTCGGAGCATTTAGGCCAGGACTGAAGTGACCATTTATAGGACAAATTTCTAGTTGCGAGCAAATTTATCATCTTTCCTTTTTTCCTAGGAGAAACACTGCGTTAATTTGCTGTCACAACGAGTTCCCTGAAAAAATTTCCAGCTATGCACCTAAGAATAGAATGGGCAACTCCCTCTATAAGACTCTCCTGCAAGGAATCATGGTTATAATTGTTGTATTCATGAAAACTAATATCCAGTCCCAGATGATGAATACAACTATCATGATTTCCTACAGGCGCGTCTCAAAGTGGGAGTTGTGCATTGGCCAGTGGAATGTGAACGCAGGGCCTAATCTACACCTTTAGCGAGCAAAAGGTAGTAAGGTTTATTCACAGGGCCGGCTACCAAACAACAGAACACAAACTTTTCGAAACTATGAAACATGTTCTCCGTCCAATGATTCTAAGTTCAATTCAAATTTAGCTGTCAGTGTTTTGTGACGCAATTTCTCTCTGCAATGCTTTCATCGCTTCTGAGCAACCCACGAGACGTAGGGCATCACACAGAGTTTCAATCGTTGCTCCCTGAGGGCCTTGACTGTCCTTCCATGCTAAAAGACCCTGGTAACACTTTTCACTAACCGAAGCGTTCTTGTAATCCTCATCCAAATTTCTTATGGTCGCCTCTTCGATGGACAGTTTTCGAAGAACGAGCTTCCACTTGACTCCAACATAGGGGCTAATATCACAGATAATTTTTTCTGTTACCGGCTTGTCATCGCTTAGGCTCAGTGATGTGAAAAAATGGTCACATTGAACGGGTCCATTTTCTCTTGAAGAATCTAAATAAAATAATAATCAACGATTAATATGTCATGCTCACTACATCTTGGATCAGCTTGTAAAAGCAGGTAGTGAATCAGGTCCTCTCTTGTAACATCTCAAGCATTGCCACTCGGCGGTATGACCTGGCCAAAGCCATATGTCTGAAATATTTTGCTCGTGAATTTTCTTTTCTTTCTTTTTTTTTTTTTTTTNAACCGTTCTCTATCTTTCAACTCCACGCGCTTGTGAAAAGAATAAGTAAATGAAAAAGATATTTAAGTGCGATACCAAATAAGTAAAGCCATTGAATGTCCTACAAAAAACATCTTGTACAAATAAGATCTGCAATTCTTTCTAGAGTAGTACCTTTTTATGCTCTTGTCATTTACTATCTTTGTTCAGAGCCGACTAATCCATCCATCCATCCATCCATCCATCTATTCACCCTATCTTATGTTATGCCTATCGTTCAATCGATCTCTTACCTTCTTAGAATCCTCGTTATCACTGTACACGTAGAATCGTAAGTAGATAAGGTCGCTTTTGGGATCCGGTCTGCTGGAAAAAACTGTTGCTCTCTTTCTCCTTGGCCCGCCACAAGCAAATATGCTCCAGAGTGAAAAAGTCTCGGTTTTTATGCGAACACAGTCTTTTCCCACTGTAAACCAAGACTTGCACTGACTGTTTTTCTCCGATTTACTAGGCACTCTCTCCCAGCTTAATCAACCTGGTACAGACATTAGATGGACTATGATTTCCTGTTAACAACGATCAACTACAAGCCATGGTAATGTGGCTGTGCCCACGCCTAATCCCTATGACAATGCCTATGTCGTTGTATGGTGCCTAAACATAACTCATAACTTAAAATTTTTATGCCCCTATGTTTATACTTATGTCTACACCTATGCCTTTCCCTGTGCAAGTAATCTCTAGGTCTGCGTTTGGTATCAAGGGAGGTTATTCTCTTTGTGAGAGGTATCACTTCTCGTGTCTAATTAAGAAACGAAGACCCCCGGGGAAAAAACAAAAAAACAAACTACCATTACCTTCGAATTCAGCAGCCAAATTGCCACATCTGTAGAGAGTTATCGCTTCCTTTTTAGCTTCCCTTAAGCAGAGGCAATGCGGAACGATAATTTCGACTGGCTTTGACAGCTGGATGTCATGAGGCCCGCATTCAACCACGGGAGAAATAAGAGTCTTATCGGGTGCTTCCGGGAAACCCTGTAACAATGGTGTGTCGTCTGAGAACACTCCAAAGAAGACCTGTTGGTTTATTCCAGCGGGAATCGCACCTCTAGGAACGATTATGCGTACGTTTGAGTCCAATGGTGCACTCAACTCTCCACCAGTACTAGTGAATGTGGCCTCTAATTTTGTAATGTATTTGGGAACTGACGTGGGAAGGTGACTGTGCAGAGTTTCGTTTTTGCAGCTTGGTGAATCCTGACCCGCCTCATTTTCTATCTGAGAAAATAAACAAAAAAGTAACCTCCTAACTAACTTTGGGCAAAATGTCATGATCAAGCCATGCGAAGGCTGATAAGGGTGTTTAGGCCTTATAGCTGGTAGATATATTAATGTATTCTTTTCTCGTGCACACAAATGATATCATACGTTCTACAACGGTGTTGTCTATATCGCACTCTACTGCAAGCTCTGTGATTTATAGTCCGTCTCATTATTTCCCAATTTGAACCATACTTACCTTTTCATTTGTTGGTTTATTAATTTATACATGGTTGGTGTTTCGATACCTCACTGGACTACCATTCTGGGGTAGTTTTACACTTTGAAACGGAATAAAACACGTAAACGTGCCGGTTGCGTTTGATCACTCAGACAAGAAAGCCAGTTTACACCCGCTTTCAGTGTTACGTGCATAGCAACTATCTTTCGACATGGCCTACCTCAAAAATGTAAGCACAACTGACTTCTTTAGGGTCAAACTCGACTTTTAGTTATGAAAGATGGATTTATTTTACATCATACTAAGGCTATGTGTAGCAAGAAGTCATTCTGTGAGAGGTAAATCGACTGTTTTGAATGTTCACATCTTTCAAATATTAACTGAGCGGTAGCGGTCATATTCTACCTGAAGTCACTATTGAGAGCCGATTGACTACGCTAATATCGTTTGAATTATCCCGTAAATCGGTAGTCCACAATCTTCTTCATTCATTTGAGCTCAGTAACTATCATATACTTGTCATTTGTTCTGCTAATAATCGGAAAAATTGCCAGTTTCACAGATAAACGATCTTTTAGCCGTTTACATAGCATGTCGAAAGATGGAATGTCGAGAAATAATCGAAAGATGTCGCCTATGCATGTAACACTGAAAGCGGGTGTAAATGGATTTCGCTCTAAGAATGCCCGTGATTTCGCTCTGAAACCAGACGACGGTCAATGTTGAGCTTTTTATTATTACCATTACCATTACCATTACCATTACCATTACCATTACCATTACCATTACCATTACCATTATCATTATCATTATTATCATTATTATTATTATTATTATTATTATTATTATTATTATTATTTTGCATGGTACATTTTCTACAAGCAGACGAAGGTCAAGGATATTTGATACTTAACCTACCTGAACCAAGGTTTCACTCATTTTAAGGGAGAGAAGAGGAGACCTTGAAGAAAAAACTGGATCGGATGTCATTCTTTTATCACGGCTGCAAAAGTAATATATCAAGTACACCTAGTGAGAAAACGAATACTTGAATACACGAACCGGATTGGAAATAAGCCGTTATCTATATTTTATTAATTAACCAAGTGAAAGAGACATACTAATAAAGTAACCGTCGTGAATCTTGACAGTACGGAATAACCCACGTCATCGGCCGTACAGAAGACCTCAATGGACATTTTCCAAGTACATTTCCAAGCAAGTTTGGCAAATTACTAAACTAACAGCAAGTCTAGTAAGACGTTTTAAATCAAAATCTCGTCACTATTCCGCTTCCCCACTCTGCTTTGCTGTCTTCCGTTGTATTTCCATTATGCTACGCTATTCTGTGCCATGTTTTGCTATGCTTTACTACGCTACGCTGTGCTATACCGATGCTGCGCTATGCCATAGTACGTTATGTTAAGTTGATGCTACGTTTTATGCTGTTAAGCGTGCGCTAAGCTAATTTCTGCTATGGCATGCTATGTTATGTTCTTCTTTGCTAAGCTCTAGGTCAAGCTAATTTTTGCTTTGCTATTATATATTGTTCATATGGAAGAAGAACTTACAGATAGCGATTCCGCACGAAAACCATAACAATCAGAGCAATAACAATAACAATAAGTGTTAGGAGTCCTGCGACGGTGCCTGATGCTCTTTTAATTTGATTAGACCTCGCTGTTTTTCTTGTCTCTGTGATAAAATAATAAAAGCAAAATTATTAAAAAAATAATAGCAAGTCATAACAGGCGCGACAAACAGGGAGTGCAGAAATTCACGCTCAGCGTGATCGTGACGATACAACTGTATCTTGTACCTCTTGGGAACGTTTGCGGACAATAATTCAAAGCTTTGAATGACAGACTGTTCATAAAACAAAACCTTGAATAAGAAGTTTATGGGGCAGGGGGCCTAGGAGGTATTGACATACCCATAATTCGCCTATGCAAAATTAGAAAACAGCCCTAAGAAATTACGCGCGCTAACTGTTTAGAGCTGGGGATTGCTATGAGGTGATAGTTTATGAAGCCGAAAGCCGAATTAACTATCAACTCACAGAAATCTCGAGCGAAAAATCTAATTATTTTAGTAGAATTTTAACTGAAATTAACGCAAATAATGGTTTTCAATTATTTTTTGACGTATTATTGAACTTTACGCTTTAACAAAATTGCACTTATTGAATTGTCCTTGGGATATTTGCAGTTGATTACGCGCGCGCACCCGTTTTTCAATAATTTCAAGTTTTTAAAGTCAAGAAACCGTTTATGTACGTCTGTCAGTCTTTTCAGGAATTTACTTATCAATTTACGTCTAAACTTTCTTCTAAAACTTCAGAAAAACGATGAAAACGTCGCATTTCATGAACGACCGACAGCCACTGCACTCTAATAAACAATTAGATTATGAGCTCGAGATTTCTATCACGCACAGAAATCGAGAGCGAATGATCTAATTGTTTTAATATAAATCTGCTAATCGTTCAAAATTCTAGTTACCTCCTCTACACAGACCCTTCAAAAACGCCAAGAAGCGGAAGTCATTTTGTTCACGAGGGCACACTGCTACGGCACTCACTATCTATCACAGATTATATAATAACCCAAATTATTCTCACGCTTTGATTGGTTCTCGCCTATAATCTATTAGAGGACAGACGCACAATTGACGTCATCATTTTAAAGTTTTTCCCCTCTGTGTTTTAAAATGGCGGAAAGTTTTGAGAATTTATTTAATATTTTATGTGACAAAGAGAAAGATAAGATCCAAAGTCGAGGCATTGAAGAGGTACGAGAAGCAGGAAGAGAAAAAAAGCCGTTTCCTTTTTTAAGAAAATGACTCAGAAAAAATACTCGAGCAGTCTCAGTCGGCAGTCGAGCGAGGATCAACCAAACGCAAAATTTGTCGTCAATTAACTTTAAGGTAAGAAACCATTGTTTTGTCTCGAATATAACAAGTCCAACAAACAAAATGTTTATGACATCAATTTATTTTAAAAAATTCTTAAAATAATTGTTGACACAGATTGATGTCAGGAATGAAACATCAAAACATTGCTTTCTAAAATTAGTTAAGCTTAAAATAAACACATAACCTTGCTTTCCGACGCGAATTTTCTAGTCCGTTTCAGGGCACAGCAGAGAACAAAGTATCGCTCGCTACAGCTCACGGCCAACTGTATTTTAGCTATAAGGTATCTCCGACAATATATCAAACTGATTTGAGAATCTCCAACCACAAAGGACACAAACTTCCACCGTCACAAACGCTCCTTTCATTCAAAACTCCAATCGAACGGCCTCCAGTGTCGACCGAAACCGCAAGTTTTCCGAGCGTATTTTTTCAACTCCTGCAATATTCAAGAAAACGGCCAAGCTTTCCGGCTAACAGGGCTGCTCTCACGACAAACGCTGACTTGACTTTTTCAGCATCTTCTTTAAGATTTTGTAGATTTCGCAGTTCAATTCTGCTTTCGCTGTAACTTTTCAATTTCACTCAACGATAAGCGATCGGTCGATTCAAGTGTGACTGGACCAATCACGATTATTTGTTACGCATAGCAACCAATGAGTTATGTTGAAAGATTTTGAAATTTAAAAAAAAAAGCTTTTTCTGTAGTAGTTTGTTTCTTTATTATGTAAAACAAATAGATTCCATGTTGCCGTGCGTCTGTTCAGTAATAGATCACAGAGACGTCAAAATGTGGTAAGAACATCAGTGACACACTCGGCTATCACCTCGTGAGCCACTTTTTTTGTTCTTACCACATTTTGACGTCATCTCTGATCTATTACTGAACAGACGCACGGCATTATGGAATCTATTTGTTAAATAGATAGTGAGTAGCGTAGCCAATCAGAGAACGGCAATCGTGATAGAACGCTAGTAGATTTATACTAATGGCTGATAGTATACGAGTAGCTTAGCCAATCAGATTTCAGCATTTACATTAGTACACTAGTAGAATTCCACTAAAGATCAATAGAAGCACAGGACTAGCACGAGCTGTTAACGTAATGATGGCGCGAGCAAAGATAATTTACACTCTGATGATCAAAGTAAACAAGTGTTTATTATTATTATTGTTATTAAACACTCCTTTTATTATTATTATTGTTATTATTATTATTATTATTATTATTATTATTATTATTATTTTCGTCGCTGTGTTCTCGAGTTATAGAAACACTCGTGAAAGTTTGGGGGAGCTCAAAAAAAGCTGTAGAAACATTCGCCTGCGGCTTCTGCTCCCACAGGATTTTTCGTTCTCCCAAACTTCCACTCGTGTTCCTTTTACTCGATAGAAACACGGTACATGTTTCCTATTTCTTAAATAATACATAACTCAATGTACTACTCCCCATCGTCAGAAAATAATACTGAATGCACATTATTTTTTTGCAGAAGAAACCCGACACTTGCTGTCCCGTACCTCTAAACAAACACATGCTTACCCATACGGCACTTATTTTATAAGTACCGTATGTCTATTGGTGTTGCTTTTTTTTTTTTACCAGTGTCCCCAATGTCTATGTAGGCTTCAGAGGATTTGCTTCTTACCATGACAGAAAAGTGGAAACTAGCTATGGATAAAGGTTTATCTGTTGGACCTATCTTTATTGACTTCCAGAAAGCATTTGACACTGTGTCACATGAAATTCTACCCTTAAAGCTAAATGCAGTTGGTATCTCTGGCCTGAAGTAAACAACCAAAGATCTGCTCTTCTCCCTATTAAATTTGGTGTTCCTCAAGGATCCTTACTTGGCCCAAGACTGTTCACTATCTACTATTACTATCAAGATGGCTCCATCTTGATGTATGCTGATGACACCACAATTTATACAATTGGCTCAAGTGTTGACCAAGTCATCTTATCTCTAAACGGCCTTATGGCACAGATATCTATGTGGAACACTTTAAATAAATTGACAATCCACCCTGTAAAAACTGAAGCTATGATTTAAAAAAAACAACAGTTTTTTGGTCCTTCGCAGCCATTACACTTTGGCTCTGGCTTTGTGAAATTTGTTAATTCTACCACTTGCCTAGGTGTTACGATTGATAAAAATCTCTCTTGGCATGCCCATGTAGATATAGTTAAGACCTCTTTTTCCAAAAAAGTCAATTTTCCGCTTGATGCGTTCAGTGTTGGGCCAAGAGGGTAGCCTTGATTTTGATTGAATTCATCCAACTGAACGTTTGACGGTCATTCGATTCTCTTGCACTGAAAGATTTTATGATGAACTTGACAACACCGACATGGGCCGCCCGTTTGCAAAATTCAACAGCTTTCGTTTTAAAACTGTTTAGCGGTGAATACGTCCAACGTTCGGTCAGGGAACTCGCTTCTCACTCAGTCGAATGCATCCCATCGATAATTGGACGCTCATTTAANTGAACTCTACTGTCCCTTCGACCAATCAGGTGTTGCCGTTGCTGGAGCAACTAACGCAGCGAACACCAGACAGAGGGAAGCTGTTAGAGCCTCCCTATTTTTACCGCCCAGTCACCCCCACGCTATTAACCCCACCGCCACTACCCACGGGCATTTTGTACTCTCCCTACTTTCGATCGCATCAAGAGACCGAGATGGCGGCCCATCGAACTCAACGATCGACATCTACGATCTCACGGAAAAATAGGGGACTGTGAACAGTCTAGTTTGAAACATTTCCCACTGATATCTCTCCGACATAGTTATATTGCAAGAAACTATTTCCAAGCATGAAATCTTATAAGGTCAAGGAAGGAACTAAAAGTTACATTTTGACGCGATAACTTTGTTCGATGATAACTTAAGTCATTAGAAGGTAACGAATTACATGGGAGAGGAGAGGCAGAGGGAGGATCATTCAACTGCCTCGCTCTCCATGTCCTAGTAGTATGATACTACACCTACTCCCAAAGGTAACATCATTTTAAAATGTACCAGGTATGAAAATTGTTATATGTTGCTTAGACTAGCCCCCTAGTTAGCCCTATGTTCCCGTGGCAAGGATCAGTCAAGGGTTCCTAGAAAACTATTTCTATAGAATCTATACCTCTGACTGACTGTTAATGGCAACGTCTGGGTAGAAATTATCAGATCCCCCATTTGTATTATCCAGTGTTTTGAAATGACCTCCAGGGTCAACATGGTCGGGTATTTGTGCGGAATCCGGTGATTGCGTGTGTGTCAGTTCATATTCGTCTGGATGTCTCCTTGGTTGCCTATATGCAAGATTGTCGCGTCCAATAGTTTTCTCCATATTTTCCCCCGTGCATAAGCTCCGTGATAGAACATTGGCTGCCAACTGTCTTCTAACGTTGCAAAAACAAACATAAAATGCATTGATATTTGCCAGGTAAACAACTGACGAGAATTCGAGAAAAAATGATATATAATTGTTCAGGACCAGAACTTAATATAAAGTAGCACGTATCGTACACCAGAGCATTGTTTTCAGTTGCTGTATGTTTCTGTAACGTTTCTTGCATTTAAAAAAAGGATCAATCACGATTTTGTTAACGAGGACAATTCTCGATAACCTCTAAGAGTGAATGTCAGTAACAATCGAAGAAAATTCTCAATTGTGGCCACATGTCGAGAAATCGATTTCGCTCATACTTTGCCAGTTTAAAGGCCTAGCTAAGTAACTTAAGGAAATCAAGTCAGTTCTTTGAAATATCCAACATAACGGCAGAAATTCACGAGAAACGGTCATCGTACCGAAAGCTCAGAGTTCACTTCGCGACAATTTGAAATTTTATACTATTCAGCCTACATTCACATATATACATTGATTCTTCCTCAGTTCAATCAAGATATTGTGATTTTTTTTCTTTTCTTTTTTTTCTTTCATTTCTAGTATTTTCCGAGCCAATTAGGCCCTGATTGAGTAGACACGTTTTTCTATTTAAAACAAAACTCAAACATGATGCAAATTCAGGGAGGAAAAAAGATGACCGGTACTGCCTTGAATCGTCCGATATTCTATTCACTGGATTTTAGGTTTACAGTTTAATTTTCGTGGGATCTACTAGCAATTTTGCATGAACGTCGATCAAAATTCGAGAAAATTGCAATTCAGCCCCTTTGAAATTTGCAGTGTAACACAACACGCA